AGAGTAAAAGTCACCACAGCCTTTAGCATTGTTGTTCCAGCTTTCCATCCTAGCACAACACAAGTATGCATCTTGATAATATCTGCATCAGTGCTATTGAAGTACTGACTGTATCTTGGGGAATGCTAACTCCAACAGGAAAATGCAAACCATATGTGCCTTTCTTTCATACCCTGGGAGAGGCTGAGTGACACCTGGTGCCCCCAAACCACAACTGCTATATGACTTTACTGTTGGCTGCAGCTAAATCCTCTTTTCAGTCCAATCCTTGCATTACAAAAATCCCATTCATTCCATTCATACACATGTGTAGCATATTTTTCATCCCCAAAACATCACAGCGTCATTGGTGTTTAAACTGAGTTGTCTCTTTAACCTTACATTTTGTAGTCTGCATAGGAATTCAGTTTATAGTTTATCATCTTTTATGGACATTTATATCTCTGCTTCCTACCTCCTCCACAAATGAACAGAGTCATTGTAGACTTTTCTTTGGAGACTATTAAATTTATGCTAGCTATACTGAGAGATACATTAGAAAAATTGCTTAGGGTTTTAAGGATGAATAATAAGGCAGGCCACAGCATGCTTTATTATCCAACTAAAGTGTATTTAGGTTGGCCATTACCAGTGAAACCACCAGCTGAATGTCATACAAGTTCATAGATGGCCATTTCTAACTTACTCTGAACCTATTGGAAAATCTCACTAAGGTTGTAAAATGTTCTTTTTTCATCTACACATATTTTAAAATAAAATCAGACAAAAAACTACTTTGTGTCCATATGCTATGAAAAATAGCTGACAGATAAGAAAAAAATGTCAGGGATAGTTGAGGAGGTTTACCTCTAAAATGCTAACACCTAGCAAGAGCAAGCATTCAAGATAAAGGCAAGGATTTCCATATATTTGTATATATAGTCTTTTGGTGAAAATTCGGGAGACGAAACATCCTGTTTCCAACACCATTTTATTTCTAAACTATAATGCATAGATAATCATTGCGTCTGGAGTAAGGAGAGAAGAAGAAGCAATCTCTATCATAATATAGTCAATGGGGTGTGGGCAACTCCATGAATTTGGCATCAGAATTTAGTTTAATGCTGTGCCTAGATATTCAAGGGAAAGATGAGCTGATACAGACCATAGGAGGACATGGTATTTTTTTCCCTTTGTACTTTAACCATATAAGTGTTTTTTTTTTTCAATTCTATTAAATAAGAAGGTTTCAGTAGTTGTTATGTCAGAATATTCTCAATACTTTTGGTTCAAGGACCTACATAGAATCAGTAATAAGCAAAACTGAAGTCAGGATCCTGTCAATATTTGATTAGCTGAAGCAATACACTTAAGTTGACTAAATGCAATTTGATTGAAAATATGCTGGATGGCTTGTCTGTTTAGCTGATGATGATGAGAAATTACTTAATGGGTACAATATACGTTATTCAAATGATGGATACTTTCCTAAAAGGCCTGATTTCACCAATACACAATCTATCTCTGTAACAAAATTACACTTGTATCTCATAAATTTATACAAATATAATTAAAAAAATACCAATGTAGAAAAAAAACCAAAATTTAACTTCGCCCAAAATGAATATATTGTCACTAGCTTTGAGTTCTGGTCATTTTAATATAGCATAAGGGTGATTGGGAATGTTGTTATATATATTAATATTTAGGCATTTGTCGGAACAACTTAAATCATCAACAATAGAGGGGTAGTTAAGGCAAACTACTAGAAAATTAACAATAATAAATATAATTATATGTGGCTTTGGAAGGTTTTATTTCAAAGTGTTAGCAATAGTTTTTCCAGATGGTTGATATTATGGATACTATGTTCTTCCTTTGCATATTTGTATTTGTCTCTAAGAACTTCCTCTGTTTTTATAGTAATAAAAGAATACAATTAAAAAAGCTAAAAAGACTTAAA